TCTTTCCTTTGGGGTGAATGCTCTGGAGTAGCTTGGCTGGAGTATATGGTAAGTATATGTTTAACTTCTTAGGAAACTGCCATACTGTTTTCCAAAGTGGTGTACCATTTTGCATTCCCACCAGCAGTGTATGAGTTCCTGCTGCCCCATACCCCTGCTGACGCTTGATATGGTCACTCTTTTTAAAAACTTTATTGGTCTGTTTAGTGATATCTCATGTGGCTTTAATTTGCATTTCCCAAATGACTAATAATATTGAACATCTTTTCATCTGCTTATTTTCCATCCTTATATCTTCTTTTTTTTTTTTCAGGGGTAGGTGAAGTATCTGTTCAAATCTTTTGTCTGTTTTTAAATTGGGTTGTTTGTTTTCTTATGGTTGACTTTTCAGAGCTCTTTTATACTCTGGACATAAGTCCTTTATTAGATGTATGTTTGCAAATATTTTCTTCCAGTCTGTGGCTTGTGTTTTCATTCCCTTAAAAGTGTCTGCAGATGTTTTTAATTTTGATGAAGCCCAATTGCCAATCTGTTCTTTTAAGAATGATCCTTCTGGTGTTGTATCTAAGAAATTTTTATATAACTTGAGGCCACAAAGATTTTCTCCCAGAAATTTTATAGTTTTATGTTTTACTTTGACCTATCTTGAGTTAATTATTATGGATTAGAAATTGATCAAAGTTTTACTTTTTTGGTATAAGGTTATCAATTGTTCCAGCACCATTTCTTGAAAAGACCAACCCTTTTCCACTGAACTGCCTTTGCACATTTATAACTGAGATGCCCATATGCAGGTCTATTTCTTTGCTCTCTCTTCTGCTCTGCTAGTTCTTACCTTTACATCAATACCACACTGTTCTGGTTACTACAGCTTTAAAATTAATCTTGAAATGTGATAATATTAGTCCTCCAACTCTGTTCTTTGTTTTTTAAAGTTGTTTGGCTCTTTTATTCAGGTCTTCTGAGTTTCCATGGGAATATTAGAATCAGCCTGTCAGTTCCTTCAAAAAACTGAGATTGTGATTGGGATTATGTTGAGTCTATGGATAAATTCACAGAGAATTGACACCTTGACAAAACTGAGCCTTCTATCCATGGGTACGGCACAGTTTTGATTAGGCCATCTTTAATTCCTCTCAGCAATGTTTCATAGTTTTTGGTGCACAGGTCTCTCACATCTTTTTTCAGATTTATCCCTAAGTATTTCTTAATTTAAAAAAATATTTTTATTTATTCATGAGAGACAGAGAGAGAGAGAGGCAGAGACAGGCAGAGGGAGAAGCAGACTCCATGCAGGGAGCCTGATGTGGGACTCGATCCCGGGACCCCAGGATCATGCCCTGGGCCAAAGGCAGGCGCTAAACTGCTGAGCCACCCAGGCGTATTTCATATTTCATATTTTTGATGATAACTGCTATTATACTGGTTTTAGTAAGTGGTATCATCTTTTAATTTCAATTTCCAATTGTTTGCTGCTAGTATACAGAAATACAATTGATATTTCATATTGATGTTGTATCCTGTAGCTTTGCTTATTGGTTCTAGTAGCTTTTTTGTAGATTCTATCACAGATGATGATGTCAACTGTAAATAAAGAGAGTTAAATTCTCCTTTCCTAATATGGACCCTTTCATTTCTTTTCCTTGCCTGATTGGTTGGCCAGAATCTTTAGTACCATGTTGAATACAATTGTTGGTAAGAGTTGATGTCCTTGTCTTGTTTTGGATCTGAGAAGGTGAGCATCCAGTCTTTCACCATTAAGCCTGATGTTACTGTAGGTTTTTCCTTTATCAGACTAAGGAAGTTTCCTTCTATTCATTATCTAGGGAAGTGAGGTAAATCTTGAAGGAAAAGTGGGAAGAGAGAGGTTATCAAGAGAGAGAGGGAAAAAGATAAAGGCAAGAAGCAAAGAGAGTCAGGAAATCAGAGTCCATGGGAGGCTCCTGCCAAAAGCCTCTGGAATATCCACCTGGAAAACCCTTTCTCCGCCCAGGCTCAGGCAGTGGACAGTATAAGCAGGAACTATACACTAGAACAAAGGGACTATGCTTTAATTTCCCAAACCAGTTCTTTTTTTTTTAATTTTTTTAAAAATTTATTTATGATAGTCACAGAGAGTGAGAGAGAGAGGCAGAGACACAGGCAGAGGGAGAAGCAGGCTCCATGCACCGGGAGCCCGACGTGGGATTCGATCCCGGGTCTCCAGGATCGCGCCCTGGGCCAAAGGCAGGTGCCAAACCGCTGCACCACCCAGGGATCCCCTCCCAAACCAGTTCTATTCATGAATCCTTTTCTAAGAACCACTTCAGGGTACCTTAGATTCAGTCTGTACTGTATTGGTTTCAGGAAAGGGTGGTCAGGCACTATCTGGAAGACTAAAAGGCCTCTTCACTGGTTACCAAGGGGCAGAGGCAGCACCCTTACTGTTATCTATGGATGATAATGTCACCAACTGCAGACATTCAACGGGGGAAACCATCAGGTGATTCCTCCACATTGTCACTTTCTGTACCTTAGAGAGTACTAGAGCACTCCAGTAAAGAAGGGGTCATTATATACCTTTCAGAGGCTGTCTTTGGAATATACTTAGTGTGGATGGTGGCTTCTAAGATGGCTCCCACTGATTCCCATTTCCTTGTATTCATGTCCTTGTGTAATCCCCTCCTGGAGTGTGACTCAGAAATCACTTCCTTTCTTTTAAAAAATTTTTACCATTTTTTTAAAATTTTTATTTTATTTATGATAGTCACACACAGAGAGAGAGAGAGGCAGAGACACAGGCAGAGGGAGAAGCGGGCTCCATGTACCGGGAGCCCGATGTGGGATTCGATCCTGGGTCTCCAGGATCGCGCCCCGGGCCAAAGGCAGGCGCCAAACCGCTGTGCCACCCAGGGATCCCTCTTTTAAAAAATTTTTAAAAAAGATTTTATTTATTTATTGAGTGAGGGGAGAACATGAGCAGGGGGAGGGGCAGAGACAGAGGGAGAAGTAGACTGAGCATGGAGTCTGACATATGGCTCTGTCCCAAGGACCCTGAGATCATGACCTGACCCGAAAGGCAAACACTCAATCAACTGAGCCACTCAGGAGGCCCTAGATGTTATTTTCAAGATGAGGTAACTAAAAGGTTCTGACTTCTGTCTTAATCACCCTCTTTTTTTCTCTCACTTGTTCAGATTGATGGAAGCCAGCTGTTGTAAGCAAACCCATGGAAAAGCACACGTGGCAAGAAACTGAGGCCTCCAGCCAAAGGCCAGTGAGGAACTGAGGCCCTCAGTAGAATAGGCAGTGAAAAATAGAATCCCACTGCCAACCACTTGAGTAAGTTTGGAAGCTTGGGATTTTTCCCCAGATGAGTGTGGGGATTACTCCAGCCCAAACTGACAGGTTGACTGCAGCCTTGAGAGACATCCTGAGCCAAAGAACTCAGCTGTGCCCAGTCCTGACCCATAGGATAATAAATATTTGTTGTTTTTCCAGCCAGTTAGTGTTGATTTAAAAACTAGAGAGAGAGACTTATAGAACAGAAAACTTCTGCATGAATCTACCATAGGAGGTTACAAAATCAACAGTCATCTTGTAGAACATGCAAAAATAGGATTTTATGCTAAACAACTTAGTTTATTTAGGTTAATAGATGCTTTCTGGAATGTTTAATTTTGAAAAAAATATAATGCCATATTTTCTCTCTCTCTAATCCATTAATTTTAATTAAATCATGATATTATCAAAATAGTTTTTGGAGTGGTGGCTAACCACACTATTGTTTTAAGCTGTTAAGTTTTTGGCTTGTTTGTTACACAGGCATAGATAATTAACATACTCAAGATATATTTTCTCAGGAGGGTTCAGTGGCCAAAAGAATTAGCTGACCTTAGCATAAATTATACCCACTAAAGAGTCAGAACGGATTTAGAATTTTAGAAGTTTCAAGATCCCAGAACTCTCCTAAAATTTCTACCTATAGGACCCAAATACAGGTCTGTTTTGGTTCACCTGTGATAATTCCATTCCTTTTCATGACACTGATGTCTGAGAGACATCATGAACAATGTAAAATGAAGTACAATTTTTAGTTATTACTAGTCAGCAATGAGATGTGAATGCATGTATCAAGCAGCTCTCTGGAATATTCAGTCTGTTAAACACCAGTTTTCTCACTGATCTGTTAAAATGGATTGATGACTAATATCAGGTCTATAAATACATTTTTAAGTTGATGAAACTATTTTTGAGTGTCTTTGTATTAATATAAGTAGGCTATTCATCATTGTTATCAATTAAAAATGTATGCAGCCTCCACAGAGGTTTTTCTGATTATGTGGAGCATTATTGAAAAATCTAGGTCTCAGGGCAACCATCTAATGTTCTAGTTAATTAACTAATTAATCAAAATGCTAAGTCAAAGTAACATTTATTTAGGATCTATTAGACACTAGGGTTATGAAGAAGGCAAACTTCTGCTTTCAAGGATTTAAAACTAAGTAGTTAGTAATTATGTTATTAATGCTTACTATAGAGTGGGTGACTAGTTTTTAATATACCAGTTTATGGTGGTGTGTAGTTCAGATTTTGGCAACATTTATATTTTGAATACTGACTAGTGTTTACAGTAGACAAGTGCCTGTTTTATTGCCCTCAAAGCATAATTTCACTGTTTCTATCATGACAAGATTTACAGTGGTTTCTTTGCTGTTATAACTCAGGAATACAATCCACAGTTAAGAACACTGTTTCAATGGGAAAAAATGCAATCCAGCTGATGACATGCTTTTCTGGAATGCACCATGAAAAGGGATGCCTGCCTAGAAGAACAGAAAATTTGTATATAATGTTTGTTTAATTATAGAATTAGAAAGGAGAATATTCAAGATCAAGATATAGACTTGAATCATTCTGAAACTATACTTTTGTGTAGTTGTCTTCAATTCTGCTTTTGTTAAAAAAAAAGCAGACCTCAAAAATATGCTAAAATCGTTTTAAAATGAATTAATGCATACCTGCTGTCCTTAAGGAAACGTTCCTAAGATATATGAAAATCTGCTATATGTTCTGAGTGGAGAGTTCTTCAAACTGTAGTATTTATGATGTTTCCAGGGCAGGATTTTTTGACATGTTTTGGTCTCTTTTTAAGAAAGAATATATTTCAAAAAACCTAGAATATTACAAAAGGAAAATGTCACAAATAAGCATTTATACAGAAGAATAGTTTAAAATCTTGAATCAGTATTAATTCATATATACTCATTTCACACACTAAGACTTTATCTCTATCAGAGTGCATCAGCTCTTCACCATTGGTCAGGAAATAAGATTTGAAGGAGCCACAACAGAGTGGTGTTTCTGAAAATTTTGGGGGCAGAACGAAAGATTGCGTGGCTCGTCTATCTGTTCTTTCTTTCCAGTGCAAAGTTGAACATGAATAATAAAAGTTTTTGGATTACATGTTACTTACTTGTAAAAAATAAAAAATAAGAAAAGGAAGACCCTCCTGGTACTATTGGTGGGAACTGGATCTTATTTTAGAAGCACTGATATTAGACACATGGTATTATACACTGAAATTTGTCCTTCTGGCTCAACATTCTCACAAATTGTGATTCTTGGCTATTATAGCCACTAGGAAATCCTAGTGGCATAATAGGATTTATTCCTAGTGGAATAATAATTTATTCTTAAAGTAAATATTCTACAGTGAAGCTGTAATTAATTCATAGGAATGCTTTGGTTTTCAATTGCTATGTTTTCCACCCCAAATTACTGTGTGGGTAGGCAATTGTAGTTGTAACCAGTCCTGCTTCATGGGAAACAACTGCTTGACATTCAAGTTTCCCCTCTTGTCTCATCTACTCTCAACACTGCAGTTTCCTTTCCCACTTTATTTTTCCCTACAGCACATATCATTATCTGACATAATATGTATTATTTCCCTTATCTATTGCCTGACTTTCCCACTGAATCGTGCTTCACGATTGCAGTATTTTGACTGTTTTGTCTACTGCTGTATCCTCAGTGCCCAGAAGAGTTCTCAGGATATACTAAGTGTTCAATAAATATTAATTAAATAAATTAATGGTCAGGGTGCTTCTATGCTTCCTTAATTCCTGTCTCCATACCCATTACTCAAGACAAAGTTTTCAGTACTCCTGATCCAACTTAAAATGCCCTATATACCCTAAATGAATGCTTTCCAAACATGATAAATACACGTCTCAAACTTAAAAGCTAGCTTCATGCTTAATAGTGAAACATTAATTTACATTGCTGCAAGGATTAAGATAAGGATGGCCACCATCACTTCTGTTAATGAATAATGTTTTGGAGGCACTAGCCAATGAAATTAGAGGTAAGAAAGAAATAAGAGGTATACAAAGAGGTAAAGGATTTGTATTCTGAAAGCCACAGAACACACTCATGAAAGAAATTGAGGAAGACAAAAAGAAATGGAAAAACATTCCATGCTCATGGATTAGAAGAACAAGTATTGTGAAAATGTCTATGCTACCCAAAGCAATATACATATTCAATGCAATCCCTATTAAAATACCATCAAAATTTTTCACAGAGCTGGAACAAATAATCCTAAAATTCATATGGAACCAGAAAAGACCCCGAATAGCTAAAGGAATGTTGAAAAAGAAAACCAAAGCTGGGGAAATCACAATGCTGGACTTCAAGCTCTAGTACAAAGCCTTACGTAATCAATCATCAAGACAGTATGATAAAGGCAAAAAACCAGACACACAGATCAAGGGAACAGAACAGAGAACCCAGAAGTGGACCCTCAACTCTAAGGTCAACTAATCATTGAGAAAGCAGGAAAGAATATCCAGTGGAAAAACCGGTCTCTTCAACAAATGGTGTTGGGAAAATTGGACAGCCATATGCAGAAGAATGATACTGGACCATTTTCTTACAACATACACAAAAATAAATTCAAAATATGAAAGACCTAAATGTGAGAAAGGAATTCATCAAAATCCTAGAGGAGAACACAGGGAGCAACCTCTTTGACCTTGGCCATAGCAACTTCTTGTTAGATATGTCTTCAAAGGCAAGGAAAACAAAAGGAAAAATGAACTATTGGGACTTCATCAAGATAAAAAGCTCCTGCACAGCACAGGAAACAGTTGACAAAATCAAAAGATAACATACAGAATAGGAGAAAATATTTGCAAATGTCTCATCAGATAAAGGACTAGTATCCAAAATCTATAAAAAACTTATAAAACTATAAAGAACTTATAAAAAACTTATAAAACCCAAAAGACAGATACACCAATCAAGAAGTGGGTGGAAGACACAAACAGGCATTTCTCCAAAAAAGACATACAAATGGACAATAGACACATGAAAAAATGCTACATATCACTTCAAATCAGGGAGATACAAATCAAAACCACAATAAGATACCACCCTGCACCAGTCAGAATGGCTAAAATTCACAAATTGGGAAACAGCAAATGTTGGTGAGGATGCAAAGAAAGGGGAACCTTCTAACACTGCTGGTGGGAATGCAAGCTGGGGCAGTCCCTCTGGAAAACAGTATGGAAATTCCTCAAAAAGTCGAAAATAGAGCTACTCTATGACCCAGCAATTGCACTACTGTGTATTTACCCCAAAGATACAGAGGTAGTAATCTGAAAGGGCACCTGTGCTCTAATGTTTATAGCAGCAATGTGCACAAAAGCCAAACTATGGAAAGAGCCCAGATGTCTATAGACAGATGAATGGATAAAGAAGATGTGGTGTATGTGTGTGTGTATCTACACACACACACACACACACACACACACACACACACACACACACACATATATATATTACCCAGCCATCAAAAAGGAAACCCTACCATTTGCACTGATGTGGATGGAACTAGAGGGTATTATGCTAAGTGAATTAAGTCAATCAGAGAAAGACAATTTTATGATTTCACTCATGTGGAATTTAAGAAACAAGGATCACAGGGCAAGGGAGTGAAAAAGAAAGTAAGATAAAATCAGAGAGGGAGACAAACCATGAGATACTCTAAGTATAGGAAACAAACTGAAGGTTGCTGGAGGTGTGGTGGGAGGATGGGGTAACTGCATGATGGACATTACAAAGGGACATGTAATGAGCACTTGGTATTTTATGCAACTGTTGAATCACTGAACTCTACCTCTGAAACTAAAATACAAATAAAGAAATAAGTATAAACATTTGGAAAGAAAAAGCAAATTATTATCATGTGCAGATAATATGCTTGTATCCTTAGAAAACCCTATAAAACACTATAACATAATGAGCATTCAATAAAACTAAAGTTACTAAATGGATATAAAAATCCATATTTTCCAAGATGGAATACTTCCAAACTCGTTCTACGAGGCCAGCATCACCGTAATTCCAAAACCAGACAAAGACCCCACCAAAAAGGAGAAGTAGAGACCAATATCCCTGATGAGCACAGATGCAAAAATTCTCAACAAGACACTAGCCAATAGGATCCAACAGTACATTAAGAAGATTATTCATCATGACCAAGTGGGATTTATCCCTGGGATGCAAGGCTGATTCAACACTCGTAAAGCAATCAATGTGATTGATCATATCAACAAGAGAAAAAATAAGAACGATATGATCCTCTCAACAGATGCAGAGAAAGCATTTGACAAAACACAGCATCCATTCCTGATAAAAACTCTTCAGAGTGTAGGGATAGAGCAAACATTCCTCGGCATCTTAAAAGCCATCTACGAAAAGCCCACAGCAAATATCATTCTCAATGGGGAAACCTGGGAGCCTTTCCCCTAAGATGAGGAACACGACAGGGATGTCCACTCTCACCACTGCTATTCAACATAGTACTCGAAGTGCTCGCTTCAGCAATCAGGCAACAAAAAGAAATAAAAGGCATTCAAATTGGCAAAGAAGTCAAACTCTCCCTCTTCACAGATAACATGATACTGTACATAGAAAACCCAAAGACTCCACCCCAAAATTGCTAGAACTCACATTTGGTAGTGTGGCAGGATACAAAATCAATGCCCAGAAATCAGTGGCATTTCTATACACTAAGAATGAGACTGAAGAAAGAGAAATGAAGGAGTCAATACCATTTACAATTACACCCAAAAGCATAAGATACCTAGGAATAAACCAAACCAAAGACGTAAAGGATCTGTACCTTAAAAACTACAGAACACTTCTGAAAGAAATTGAGGAAGACACAAAGAGATGGAAAAATATTCCATGCTCATGGATTGGAAGAATTAACATTGTGAAAACGTCAACGCTACGCAGGGCAATTTACACATTTAATGCAATCCCTATCAAAATACCATGGATTTTCTTCGGAGAGTTGGAACAAATCATCTTAAGATTTGTGTGGAATCAGAAAAGACCCCGAATAGCCAGGGGAATATTAAAAAAGAAAAACAGAGCCGGCGGCATCACAATGCCGGATTTCAGGTTGTACTACAAAGCTGTGGTCATCAAGACAGTGTGGTACTGGCACAAAAAACAGACACTTAGATCAATGGAACAGAATAGAGAACCCAGAAATGGGTCCTCAACTTTATGGTCAACTAATATTCAACAAAGCAGAAAAGTCTATCCACTGGAAAAAAGACAGTCTCTTCAATAAATGGTGCTGGGAAAATTGGACATTCCTCAAAAAGTCGAAAGAATGCAGAAGAATGAAACTAGACCACTCTCTTACACCAGACACAAAGATAAACTCAAAATGGATGAAAGATATAAATGTGAGACAAGAATCCATCAAAATCCTAGAGGAGAACATAGGCAACACCCCTTTTGAACTTGGCCACAGCAACTTCTTGCAAATACATCCATGAAGGCAAGGGAAACAAAAGCAAAAATGAATTATTGGGACTTCATCAAGATAAAAAGCTTCTGCACAGCAAAAGAAACAGTCAACAAAACTAAAAGACAACCTACAGAATGGGAGAAGATATTTGCAAATGATGTATCAGATAAAGGGCTAGCATCCAAGATCTATAAAGAACTTATTCAACTCAACACCAAAGAAACAAACAATCCCATCATGAAATGGGCAAAAGACATGAAGAGAAATCTCACAGAGGAAGACATAGACATGGCCAACATGCACATGAGAAAATGCTCTGCATCACTTGCCATCAGGGAAATACAAATTAAAACCACAGTGAGATACCACCTCACACCAGTGAGAATGGGGAAAATTAACAAGGCAGGAAACCACAAATGTTGGAGAGGATCGGAGAGAAGGGAACCCTTTTGCAATGCTGGTGGGAATGTGAACTGGTGCAGCCACTCTGGAAAACTGTGTGGAGGGATCCCTGGGTGGCGCAGCAGTTTGGCGCCTGCCTTTGGCCCAGGGCGCGATCCTGGAGACCCGGGATCGAATCCCACGTTGGGCTCTCGGTGCA